CTTTGAAATATTTATTTATTTTCATCCAGTTTAAATAATTGAATATTATTTTAAACTTTGCATTATATTCTTAATTTTTTCCAGTAGGGTAATAGTTAAACATGATAATCCAAATTTTACATTTAAAGATAAATTAAAAAGACAAACTTAATTTCACATGGTAAGATGTCTTTCTTTATTTTCCTTAACTTCTTATAGTAAGATATTTTTCTTTATTTCATAAAAAAAATCTACTCTAATTTTAGTTTTTATATTTCCAGTTGAGTTATAAATTTGAAATTCTCTACTCCACTTTCCTATGTCTTTATTTTCATTATCCTTACCTCTTAAATATTGCTCTCTCCCATCAATCTCTAACCATGACAGATTGGTTGCTACTTCCCACAGACTTACTAGAAGTGATTGTTTGTAAATATCTTAGTTTGTAACATTGTCTCAATTCATATTATTCAAACTTTTTAACAATTAAAAAATATCTCTATAAATTGATAATTATTAACATATACTCTAAAATAATAAATATTAATTTATAAATATATTAATATATTTTAATGCATATATATTGTGGCCATGACATATTTCTTTATTTTCCTCCACACTTCACGATTTGTTTTTGAAATTTTGCATTATATTCTACTTTTATTTGTTGTTTTAAATATGTTTACTATAAATTCAATATGGTGATTATAAATATCGACTAAAGATAAAAAAAAAAAAATTATAAAACAAATTACCATGAATATGTTTCTTCATTTTCTTTGGATTACTACATAAAGTTATCTTTCTTTATTTCTTAAGAAAATCTACTATAGTTTAAGATTTTATATTTTCAATTGGGTTATAAATATGAATTCTATTCTTCATTTTTTTTTGACATCTTCTTTTTTTTTTTTTGACATCAAAATTCTGTCTTCATTTTCAATATCCTTACCTCTTAAGTATTCCTTTCTCCCATCAATCTCTAACCATGGCAGATTGGTTGCTCCTTCCTGCAGACTTACTAGAACTAATTGTTGGTTGTTTTGAGACATCTTTAGAGGTTGTCCTCTTCCGATCTGTCTGCAGGTCATGGCGGTCCATTGTTCCTTCACCGCATGATTCCCTTTGCTTTGGCATCGAAACTCATATCCCCGTGTTTAAACACATGCCTTGGTTTGGTAGCGATGATGAGTATTGTACACTTAAAAAGATCCCAATTTATCTTGTGAGATTCAAGACTCCCTTTGGTGATGATTATTTATTGGCAAAGATACATGGAAGAAAGCTTGGGAAACCGATGTCCTTGTCGTCGCCATTAGCACGTTACGGTGATTTCACAACCAAAGGCAATATAATGTTGTTCAACACTCTTAATACTCACATTGTCTCTTTGTGTCATCACTACCAAGTTAGTTTTGATCTTTATTACTACGTACATAAGATGCATGGGCTTTTTCTATATTCTGTTTTGTTTTGTTTTGCTTTTTGTAATGTGTGTGTTACACCAAATAGATCTTATATTGAAACTAATTTTTTAAACTAATATACTATACTCTTTAAAGTTGGTGAGATTTGATTTCTCGAACGTCTCTTTAACTTAATTAGTGAATGCTTGAGATGTGTTTGGAATTCAATGTTGTATTGGTCACATTCAGTAAATGAATATAAATATAAGTTTTACCAGATATTGCATATTACCCATCAATACATGTTTTCTTATTTTTTACTTGGATTAAGCTTACGTAACCTTCGCTGCAGATAAACATGGAGATGGGGATGTATGGTGGTGTGCGGTACGGAATTAAATGGAAAAGGTGTTGCAAAAAAGTTGAATATCTTGAACTTGATACTGATGATGATGGCAGAGATTTCAGATTGCTAGCTGATATAGAAGGTGATATGATGATATTTAACAGCCTTGAGATGAGATGGACAGAAATTTCGGTCTCTTCGGAAAAGTGTCGAGATATGGTTTCATTCAAAGGAAAGTTTTATGTGGTTGATACAAGTGGATGGGGACATGTATTTGTAATCGAACCTTCTTTAGAAGTTTCTGAAATCCCATCGGTCACACGGTCGACTTACAAGTCTTCGAAAGAGAATCTAGTCAAGTCAGGGGAAGAGTTGTTGCTAGTGCAACGGTTTATACCAGGAGATATTCACGAAGAAGATATGTGTAATTGGTTCCCACTAGTAGAATCTTTTTGTGAACATAAGTATACATGGTTCAGAGTATTTAGGCTGGATGAAGAAGGAAAGAGGAGGAAGTGGGTTCAAGTTAATGACTTGAACGACCGAGTGATCTTTCTTGGCAATGAGGCAAATCTCGGCTGCTCGGTACAAAAGCTTCCAGGTGCAAAGGAGAATTGCATTGTGTTCATTGATTCGAGAGATGGTATTATTTGTGAGAATGAATCAATCCTTGTATTTGATTTAAGAACCAAAAGGACTAGTACTGCCTTCGGTGAATGCAGAGGCTACATGGGCGCATTCGGTGCAAATATTGAATCTCTGGTATCTTGTGGAGTTATGGCTATGCCAAACCCAGCAACAAGCACCTATGATTTTATTAAGTGATTCTAGGTGGCTCAGAAAAAAGGTTAGAAAATTGTAATATTTTTTTTACATGTTGAGTATCAGATTAAGGTTCGGTTTAAACAAACTCAGTTTGAAATTTTTTTTGACTCAGTTTGATATTTTATTGGTCACTTAAAATTTGATCGTTTATTTAATTTATTACTTTAAAGATATGTTTTTATATCATATTTATCTTAAAGGAAAATTGATTATATCAATATTATATTCACACGTATATAAAAGTTACTAAATGAAAATGAGAAGGGAAACAATTGAACAATGAAAAAGTTTTCAAAGTAGAGAGAAAAAAATGTTCTTAGAAATTGAGTTCTAAAAATGTTATAGTAAACTAAGGTTTATTTAGATCAGCTCAGTCTTACGAGCTTTGTTGAGAGAGGCTGGTTGTCTCAGGAGACGAGCTGTTTCTTATCAAACAATTTACAGCTCGAGAATAATGAAATGAATATAAGTATTTGTGGTTCAGATTGTTTAAGCGCAAAGAGGAAGACTAACGGAGATTAATGTTCGGTTTAATGACTTAGGGAACCAAGTGGTGTTGACCCGAAGATTCATCATATTTTCTTGTTTTGATCCGCACCACACTTGTGGTGTTAAATCCTATTTTTATTATCTTTCATGGTTTTGATCCGGACCATATTTGTGGTATCAAAATCTATATTTTCAATACTAGAAAAAAAGAAAAGCTACGGGAAGCTACCCTTTGATCGTGGACAAGCTAGTCCGAGAAGATGACACAAACGGAAGAGATGAGAAAAAGCTACTCAACAAGATCCACGAGCTTTCTCATGAAACTTTGAGGAAAAAGTTCTTTTGGAAGGTGGAGTATTGATGAGAACATAATCGAACTAAACCGGTGTCGATTAAGATATGGTTAAAAAGGATGAGAATATAATAAGTGATCTTGATTGGGATCTATCATTTCCTCTAGCATAGAAGCACACCACTTGGAGTATGATCGCAATTCTCGCAAAAAAGGAGGACACGTTAGTTTAAGAGTTGCATATTAAGATGTGATAATTTCTTTTAGTGTTTGAATGTTGATACTCTTATTCTATGCTAAGCAATGGGGACGTTGATTATGTTTGAAACGTGTTTGTTGTATATCTAATGCGGTCAGGGCCGCATGTGTTGGGAGTAAGTTTAAAAATGCGTTTGGGTGAGACCAGATACAAAACTCTATGTCTTGGCTAGTGTAGCAGGACGTGTTACATATATTTTGAAGACAATAAGATCAAATCAGTCACATCTACCACATGCAGTACTAGTCCTTCTTCTTCTTAAGTAAAACAAATGGATTGATAGATTGCCTCTGATGACACCATCTCCCAAATCAATGAACACAATGTAAGTCTCCTTTTCATCCGTAAGCTTTTGTTCGAAGCAACAACTCGGAACAAATTTACCTTATACCAAACAAGTATTCACCATTTCACAAGTCGAATACAACAAACTCAATTTCTAAATACATTTTTTTTTGCTCTCTACTTAGAAAATTATTTTCAATTTCCAATTATCTCCTTTCTCTTTTACATTTAATAATTTTTATTTACGTGTGTATATAAATATTAATTCATTTTTCTTTTATATAGACCGGATATAAATATATATTTTAAAATTACTAAATTAATTAAACAATCAAATTTTAAGTGACCAATAAAATACCAAACTAAGTCAAAATTCGTCAAACTGATTCCGAACCAAATTATTTGAACTGAACCTTAATATGATACTCAACGATGTCTGAAAAATTATGATTTTCTAATCTTTTTCTTGAGCCAGTTGGAATCACTTAATAAATCATAGGTGCTTGTTGCTGGGTTTGGTATAGTCACAACTCCACAAGATACCAGAGATTCAAGGTTTGCTCCGAATGCACCCATGTAGCCTCTGCATTCACTAAAGGCAATACTAGTCCTTTTGGTTTTTAAGTCAAACACAAGGATTGATTCATTATAACGGATGCTACCATTTCTCAAATCAATGAACACTATGCAGTTCTCCTTTGCACCCGGCAGGTTTCGTGCCAAGCAGCAGAGATTCGTCCGAGCTCCAAGAAATATCACTCGGTCCTTCAAGTCGATGACTTGAACCCACTTCCTACTCCCACCTTCTTCATCCAGCCTAAAGACTCTAAACCATGTATACATATGTTCAGGATGAGACTCTCTTTTGGGGAAATATGCATACATATCTTCTTCATGAGACTGACCTGGTGTGAACCGTTGCACTAGCAACAACTCTTCTCCCGACTTCACTAGAGCCTCTTTCGTAGACTTGTGAGTCGACCGTGTGACCGATGGGATCTCAGAAACTTCCAAAGAGGGTTCGATTACAAAGACATGTCCCCACCCACTTGTATCAACCACGTAAAACTTTCCTTTGAATGAAACCATATCTCGACATTTCTCAGGAGAGACCAAAATTTTCGTCCATCTCATCTTGAGGCTGCTAAATATCATCATATCGCCTTCTATATCAGCTAGCAATGTGAAATTTCTGCAATCATCAGTATTCAGTTCAAGATATTCGACTTTTTCGGAACAACTTTTCCATTCAAATCCGTAACGCACACCTTGCCAGTACCCCAACCTTAAGTTTATCTGCATCGAAGGTTACATACACTTAATCAAAGGCAATATTAAAAACCAGTCCTGTGCATTTACTGATGCTAATATATCAAGGAGATATCTGGTATGACTTGTGATCAATACAACATTGAATTCCAAAGACGTACTTTACCAAAATTATCACACAAAAAAAAAAAAAGTTAAACAATGACACCGTAAAATCAAACTCAAGCATTACTGAATTAAATTAAAGAGTAGTATAGTGACATGTGACGTTCGAGAAATCAAATCTCACCAACTTTAAATTTGACCTTTGCTATATATTTAACACATTAATGTGTTAAATGGAAAGAACATTCTATAAGATATAAAATCTATTGGGTATAGTATTAGAGACCAAAACTAACCTGGTAGTGATAACACAAAGGGACAATTCGACTGGTAAGAGAGTTAAACAACGATACTAGAGTTTCTTTTGGTGTGAAACCACCATAGCTTACTAATGGCGACGACAAGGACATCGGTTTCCCGATCTTTCTTTCATGTATCTTTGCCAATAAATAATCATCACCAAAGGGACTGTTGAATCTCACGAGATATATTGGGATTTTCTTAAGTGTACAATACTCATCATTGCAGAAGTAGCGCTTTTTGACGAACATTGGGATATGAGTTTTGATGCCTAAGCAGTGAGAATCACGCGGCGAAGGAACAATGGATCGCCATGACCTGCAGACAGATCGGAAGAGGACAATCTCGAAAGATGTCGCAAAACGACCAACAATTTGTTCTAGTAAGTCTGTGGGAAGGAGCGACCAATCTGCCATGGTTAGATATTGATGGGAGAGAGCAATACTTAAGAGGTAAGGATAATTGAAAATGAAACATATGTAAGAGTAAAGAATTTCACATTTATAGTGGATTTTTAATGAAATAAAGAAAGATATCTTATTATATAAAGTTAAGGAAAATGAGAAAAAAAATCTATAATGAACATTTGGGTATTCACGTTTATTACCCAATTCATAATATAGCAAAATACATATAAAAATCTAAATTATAGTAGAATATAATGCAAACTTAAAAACAATATTTAATTATGTAATGTGGAGGAAACTTTTTCTATTGGTCTTTTGTTTAAGAGCATGCCCATCAGCAGTTTGTCAAAGCGTATTACAATAGTAGGAGAGAGAGTCAAAGACGTTTCTCGTTTGAAAACTTTTGAGAGACTCCTCAAAAACCTACTTGCCACTTGTCTTCATATGCTTGGGTCAAATTCTCATTTTTTAATTTAAAATTTAAATCAATAATTTATTAATTCGAAAATAATTAAATACCATTTTTTGAGAGACTTATACGGTACATACTGATGGTGATACTTAAGGAAGCTGTGTTGGACTATGCTCTTAAAACATGCAACAATATAAAACAATGTAGGTGGGATCTGATGAAGCTTGCATACAAATGTGGTATATATGGATGGTTGCAATTGGAAATTATATTGCTCACTAAGCACCAAAAAGAATATATGGCAGATCACAATGTTTAAAACATCACATAATTGCAGTCAAGACGGAGAGTGTTTGATGTTGACTGATCTGGTGATTGCGCGTTTGTTTATTTTTATTTTTTTGCTAAAAATGTAAATATTTCATTAAAAATGAAAACTGTTTAGGTTTACAATCAAAGATTTTAAACCTATACAAATGGTCCCATGGCAAAAAAAAAGTAAAAACATGGAAGCATAGATTATTACGAAAACATATTTCGGTCCATCCACTCGACCAAAGCATTAAGCTAAAGGTGTTAGACGAAGCGATGGCGATTTTGAACGTTCTTCTTAGAAAAGTTGTTGAAAGAGAAAGCTGACTGCAACTTGAAAACGCTGAATTGCGTTAGACTTTAAGCACTAGAAGCCTTTCACTGGAGGTCTGAGGTTGGACTGTCAACGGCAGAAACTCAAAGTCGTCGATCACATACTCCTCCCGCGTCACGTGAGAGCGTCTTGTCAATCAAATCCATGAGCTTGCCCAAAATGGAACCTCACGAACCAAATCCTGCAAACAATGCGAGCTCCCTCTACCAAGTTCATTCCCCGAAGTCGGCTAGCGCAGAGCATGATATATGCTATTCAAATCCACATCGAACACCATCGGTCTTACTAGCTCCTCTAGAGCACAAATCAGCAGCAACTAGAGGCGAGAACTCATCACAAAACTAACTACAACTCAAACAACCACACTAGTTTGACACATTCAAAACCAGGCCTTGATACAAAACAACTAACCAGTAAATACTTGTGACTGTCAACAAATGAGATAGCAATTTAGCCACCACCGGAAGCTATACCATCACCAATATCAACACCACAGCAGCTACCTAAGACACAATCTAAGAACCGAGACGATGCCAAACACTTGACGCTTCAAACATGGTCACACTCATACATAAACTAAAAGCTGTCCTCTAGTAGAAACTACAAAACAGAGAGCACTCATTCCAAAGGCAAGCCAAATCATCAAGAAGATAGATCAGAATTAAGTCGAGAGGCAGCGGTGCTCTGAAACCTATCCGCAGGACGGTGGCAAGAGCAATCAAAGAAGACCACTCCAAGCCAGCGCTCTAACAGACGAGACAACCCACACGGAAGGGACAGGGGCAACAAACGTCTGAAACAATGCCGTCAACCAGCGAAAAATCTCATCGGAGAGAAGCCCAACCACCGGAAATTGCAGGTCGACACGGTCAATTTCCAAGCAAAGGCTTGAAAAATGGGAACCCCAAGGAAACGGAGAAGCAACGCCGCAGCGAACTGAGCAAAGCTTGAATCCGTCTTAGATTTCGAAAAGGAGGAGTAGATCTGAAACAGATCCTAGCCGGTCGAAGCAGTTTAACGCAAATGAAAACGTTGGATCTCCATCGAAGCTCAAGCTGTCGACTAGCAAAGAGAATCGAACGGAGGAGCGTCTTCAATACCAGGAGGTGGCCGTCACACGCGGCGGAAACTACTCTCTTTCACCGCGAGCTTCAGGGCACTTCAGAGTCTCGTCGAATCACATAAGAGCCAACCTTAGGTTTTAGGATTGGAGAGAAATCGCCGCGCGTGTCGTCACGCGCCCGACTTCGTGACAAGACAACGGCGAGAGAAGAACTTTAGGTTTTAGGATTGGAGAGAAATCGCCGCGCGTGTCGTCACGCGCCCGACTTCGTGATGTACTTTTTAAGCCAGAGTATTATGCATATGAAGATTCAAGAGATGGACAAGATAAGACATGATCTAGAGAATATTATGCCTATGAAGATTCAAGAGATGATAAAAGATCAATGGAAGCTCACTGGTACATGTAATCAATGTTAAGAAGTAAGAAAATAGGCAGTAAAATGGGTGCATAATGAATATGAAAATTTTTGTCCAAAAAAAAAAAAAAAAAAGAATATGAAGATCAATTCGTCAAATTGAGTCTTTGAGCCAAACCTTAATCTCATACTAAACAATGTTAAAAAGATTACAACTTTATAGTATTTTTCTTGACACTTACTTTTTAGTAAGCCAGATGGAATCACTTAATAGATCATAGATGCTTGTTGTTGGGTTTGGCATAGTCATAACTCCACAAGATACCAGAGATTCAAGATTCGCACCGAATGCACCCATGTAGCCTCTGCATTCACTAAATGCAGTACTAGTGCTTTTTGTTTTTAAGTCAAACAAAAGGATTGATTCATACTGTTTAATAATACCATTTCTCAAATCAATGAACACAATGCAGTTCTCCTTTGCACCCGGGAGGTTTTGTACAGAGCAACAAATATTCGTCTCCGTTCCAAGAAATATCACCCGATCGTTCAAATCGTCAACTTGAACCCACTTCCTCGTCCCACCTTCTTCATCCAGCCTAAAGACTCTAAACCATGTATACATATGTTCAGGATGAGACTCTCCTTGTGGGAAAAATGTATACATATCATCTGCATGAGACTGGCCTGGTGTGAACCGTTGCACTAGCAATAACTCTTCTCCCGACTTCACAAGAGCCTCTTTCGTAGACTTGAGAGTCGACCATGTGACCGAGGGGATCTCGAAAACTTCCAAAGACGGTTCGACAACAAAGACATGTCCCCGTCCACTTGTATCAACCACATAAAACTTTCCTTTGAACGAAACCATATCTCGACATTTTTTAGGAGAGACCAAAATTTTGGTCCATCTCATCTCAAGGCTTCTAAATATCATTATATCGCCATTTTCTGTATTAGCTAGCAATCTGAAATCTCTGCAGTCATCCGTATTCAGTTCAAGATATTCAACTCTTTTGAATGTTTTATCCCATTTAACTCCCACACGCAAACTAAAGGATATCATATACTCCAAATTTATCTGCATCCAAGGTTGTTATGTAAGCTTAATGGAAGGCAAGAAAGCAGTGACGACATGATATACTCCAAATTTATCAGCACTAGACATTGTATGATTTGTATATATATTCGTTTACAGAATGTGATCAAGACAACACAGAATTCCAAACATTTTAGCAAGATTGCCACAGAAACAGTTAAACAATGACATGGGAGATAAAACTCATGCATTAATGAGATTAAAGAGTAAGGGTATGAACATTTTGGTGTGACACACATATGTAGCAATAGAGACCAAAACTAACCTCGTACTGATAATACAAAAGGACAATTTGAGTGGTGAGAGAGTTGAACGACAATAGAGTTTCCTTGGATGTGAGGCCATCATAGCTTAATGGTGACAACAGCCGCATCGGTTTCCCGGACTTTCTTTCATGTATCTCCGCCAGTAAATAATCATCGCCAAACGGAGTGTTGAATCTCACGAGATAAATTGGGATTTTTTTAAGTGTACAATACTTTTTATCGCTACCAAACCGAGGTTTTCCTCTGTAGTGAAGGCTGGTAAACATGGGGATGTGAGTTTTGGTGCCTAAGCAGCGAGAATCACGAGGCGAAGGAACAACGGATCGCCATGAGCTGCAGACAGATCGGAAGAGGACAATCTCGAAAGATGTCTGGAAACAACCAGCGATTAGTACTAGTAAGTCTGTGGGAAGGAGCGACCAATCTGCCATGGTTAGAGATTGATGGGAGAGAGCAATACTTAAGAGGTAAGGATAATTGAAAATGAAGACAGATGAAATATTTAGTAAATAATTTCACATTTATTGTAGAGTAGACTTTTTTTATGCAATTAAGGGTGGTCTTACTATGGGGCTGATTGGTTGTGACTTTTAAGACTTTAAAACAATTTTAAAGTCTTAACAGCTATATTTTTGCCAATCAAGATTTGTTTTACTTTTATTTTTTGTAAAGCCTTTAAAGCCATTTTATTTTTTTCCTTCTTTATTTTCTCTTTATTCTTAAAGCCTCAATATCACGGCTGTAGAAACTTAAGAACAAATAAGTTTTAAAAATTATTTTTTCTTCTCCCTATAATAATTAGAAACTCTCTATAGATTTATATATATTTTTTCAAACTTTTTTTTGTAAATTAATTATCAGCATTTTTTTCCTTTCTTTTGACATCCACTTTTCTTTATAAATTTAATATTTTCAATATCACAATTGTATTTTCTTATATTATAAATATTAATAAACTTTATTTATTTGTCACTATGTTAAATATGGATAAATATTGATCATCATATATTTATAAAAATTATATATAATAGCAAAAAACAAAATTCAACTTTTAACCGTTAAAGTGTCTACATCCAAAGTTTCTACAGCAAAAGTCTCTACAGCGAAAGTCTTTACAGTCACAGTCTCTACAGCCACAAGTACAGCCGTTACCAATCGGCCCCTATATAAAGTTAAGGAAAGTGAAGAAAGTCAAAGAAACATATCTATAATGAATATTTGTTGATTAATTACCCTATTAAGAAAATAGCAAAATATTGATAAATCTAGACTATATTAGAATAGTAAAATATAATGAAAATTTTAAAATAATATTTAGTTATGTAATTTGGATGAAACTTTTTAAGAAAATGTCAAGGTAAAGTTATGTTTGTAACTAAATATAAATTTTTATGTTGTGTTCCTCTCACAGGTTATTTTGACGGGAACTGTTTTGGTGGAAATGATTTTGAAAAAAATATTGTTTTTTTCATCACGGGTTTTAAGGAGTGTAATTTAATCATTTTGTACAATATGGAAAGGTATTATTTGTAAAATGGTATGAAAAATGTTAGTTTTGCAAATGTTCCATAAATATTTTTTTTTTTACTCTTTCCACCATAATGTCTCAAATTTTACAATGCATCTAAGAAAATGAAAACAAAGTAAATTTTAAAACTTGATTTTTTTTTATATGTGGATGAAGGATGAGAGAACGATTATGTATAAAATGAATGGGGAGTTACATTCTCAAAAAAAAGGTCAGAAACATGTAACTGAAATTGCAATTGTGTTTATAATATGTTTTAAAGTAGTTTGAACATGTAACTAAAATTGTGTTTATAATATGCTTTGTCCACTAAGGTCATCCTTATTGCAAGGGTTTTTGAACAAAACTTAAAGTAAGATTGTGAAGAAAAATATCTTATATAAGGATTTCAGTGAAAAGGAAGAAGACGAAGTTTTTAACAGACGGATTGGATCAAAATCAAAAGACCAGTCAACTACTTAAATTACAGAAACTCTTGTGCTGAAAACAATATACCAAAAAGAATGCACAATGGTAAAAAAGATTTTAGCAGGCAACAGTGGTGAATGATCATCATTCCTCACGCCAAGTGAACTCGCACTTCAAGCATCTATAAAATCTTGATTCGGGCTCATCGCCTGAACGAATCTGCATTGATTTGAAGCATGCCTTGTCGTGGCCGCATCTTGGGCATGGAGCTGATCAACAAAGAATCCGGAATGAGAAAGATATGAAAACGAAGATGCTCTAGATAGCAATAGGAGGTGTGCAGAACTCAAGTTCTCACACTCACAACCAATGATGCTACACTCATAAACCCTAAAATCTTATTACCATGTTCTAATTAACTTGTGTAGCAAAGCATGGACTAAACTAATCCCAATCCTAAAATTAGAATAAGGAGACATGATTGTCGTAATACCTTCAGTTTCAGCGGCTGTCGGTATATCTTCTTTAGACACAACATGTTCAATGGATTTCTTAACCAGAAGTTGCTTCTTCTCCCTATCAACATTCCAAATCAAGGACAGAGATATAAAGGATTGATCAAAAATTTTGTTGGGAAAAGGTACAAAAAAAAAAGACATGTCTTTTGATGTAGGCGATATATGGACAACTGGAACAGAAGAATCTGGAATTGCCACCACCCTCGTAACGCAGCAAGTTCCCACATGTAGGGCAAAAAATCTAAAAAATGTATGCTCCTTCACCACCCACAACTTCCACCAAAACTCTCTACTTGTCCTCTATTAGCACCCACCTATTCGTACATATCTGGTTTACAATTTTCTCTTTATGTTTTATTTTTTCATCTCTAATCACTCACTTAATCAATTTGTCCTCAGGATATTAGTATACATTGTATGCATTAAATGTCATTGTGCCCACCCCAAAAAGTGTCTCTTCTGCGGTGTGTTGGAAGGACAAAATTATCTTTGTACCCCTAAATAAAAAAGATACAATATGGCACTACATAAAAGAGTATGGAAAAATGGTAGTTTAACAGTTTTGAGTTTTAAAAAGGGTATAGAGTACAAAATTCCCTTGAAAAAACATTGTTAGTTGTTAATCTTTAATTTTGCCTACAAATTCAAAATTTAGATTATGGAGATTTAGTAAGACTTATTTGTTCAAAAACATTATTTGTTATTAATAATTTATATAATCTTAATAGATACCTTATGTTTGACTTCTTTTAGGAGTCGGAAGGACAAGTAAGACTGCCTACACGGCTACACAGCCTACACATATTTCTTTACTATACTAAATGTTTAAAGTGTGAAGAAAGATTATAAAATTTTAGTTATTAATCTGACACCATTGAGTGTCTTGATTCACTGAATTAACAAATTTAGCATAGAGTTTGATCTCCCAACTGACTACACTTGTTTTAAGAATCATGTTTATTTTTATTCTTTCTTCACAAGTAATTAAGTTATAAGAGTTATGTTTTCAAAAAGTTTGTCAATTGGAGAATTTTAAAAATGCAATTTGGGGGAGTGCATATGCAAAACATGATGTCTTGGTTTGTTACATATAATTTTGGAAACAAGATCAAATAAGTCACTCAAATTCATTAGGAAAGCGCCCATGTATCCTCTGCATTCACTAAACGCAGTACTAGTCCTTTTGCTTTTTAAGTCAAACAAATGGATTGATTAATCAATGATCACAATGCAATTCTCCTTTTAATATTGAAGCCTTTGATCCCAGCAACAAATTTACCAACTGACTATTCACCATTTCACAATTCAAATACAACAAACTCAGTTTCTATACACATTTTTTTGCTATCTCTACTTCAAAAATTATTTTCAATTTTCAAATGTTTATCATTTTCATTTAGTAATTTTTATTTCAAATTAAGTGACCAATAAAATAACAAACTGAGTCAAACTGAGTCCAAACTAAATTATTTGAACCAAACCTTAATATAATACTAAACAATTTTAAAAAGATTACAACATTTTAGTCTTTTTCTTGACACTTACTTTTTAGTAAGCCACCTGGAATCACTTAATAGATCATAGATGCTTGTTGTTGGGTTTGGCATAGTCATAACTCCACAAGATACCAGAGATTCAAGATTCGCACCGAATGCACCCATGTAGCCTCTGCATTCACTAAATGCAGTACTAGTCCTTTTTGTTTTTAAGTCAAACAAAAGGATTGATTCATACTGTTTAATAATACCATTTCTCAAATCAATGAACACAATGCAGTTCTCCTTTGCACCCGGGAGGTTTTGTACAGAGCAACAAATATTCGTCTCCGTTCCAAGAAATATCACCCGATCGTTCAAATCGTCAACTTGAACCCACTTCCTCGTCCCACCTTCTTCATCCAGCCTAAAGACTCTAAACCATGTATACATATGTTCAGGATGAGACTCTCCTTGTGGGAAAAATGTATACATATCATCTGCATGAGACTGGCCTGGTGTGAACCGTTGCACTAGCAATAACTCTTCTCCCGACTTCACAAGAGCCTCTTTCGTAGACTTGAGAGTCGACCATGTGACCGAGGGGATCTCGAAAACTTCCAAAGACGGTTCGACAACAAAGACATGTCCCCGTCCACTTGTATCAACCACATAAAACTTGCCTTTGAACGAAACCATATCTCGACATTTTTTAGGAGAGACCAAAATTTTGGTCCATCTCATCTCAAGGCTTCTAAATATCAACATATAACCATTTTCTGTATCAGCTAGCAATCTGAAATCTCTGCAATCATCTGTATTCAGTTCAAGATATTCAACTCTTTTGGAGGATCTAGCCCATTTAACTCCCACACGCAAACTAAAGGATGTCATATACTCCAAATTTATCTGCATCCAAGGTTGTTATGTAAGCTTAATCGAAAGCAAGAAAGAAGTGACGATATGATATACTCCAAATTTATCAGCATCCAATATTGTATGATTTGTATATATATTAATTTACAGAATGTGATCAATACAGCATAGAATTTTAAATACTTTAGCCAGATTATCACAAAAACAGTTAAACAATGACATGAGAGATAAAACTCATGCATTACCGAAATTAAAGAGTAAGGGGTAAGGTGACATGACCAAATATACAACACTTTCAATGACGTTAGTGATATCTGTATATATGAAGTGGTAGGAACATTCTATAAGTTTAAAAATCTATTTGGTGTGAGACAGGGGCGGACCCAGCCCAAAAATTAAGTGCGTGCAAAGTGACACTTTCAGGATTAGAACTCACCATCTCTCATATATTACACATGTTAACATAACCATTTTACTACATTGATTATTACAAACAAACCAATTTTTTAAATGTTTTGTAGGTTACTGGTGGCAGCTGCCACCACCACCTACAACGTAGGTCCGCCCCTGGTGTGAGACACACAAAAACTCATGCACGGATGCACCGTATGTAGTAACAGAAACCAAAACTAACCTGGTAGTGATAACATAAAGGGACAATTCCAGTGGTAAGAGAGTTAAACGACACTAGAGTTCTTTTGGGTGTGAAACCACCATAGCTTACTAATGGCGACGTCAAGGACATCGGTTTCCCGATCTTTCTTTCATGTATCTTTGCCAATAAATAATCATCGCCAAAGGGAGTCTTGAATCTCACGAGATATATTGGGATCTTTTTTAGTGTGCAGTACTTATCATCGCTACCAAACCGAGGTTTTCCTCTGTAGTGAAAGCTGGTAAACATGGGGATATGAGTTTTGGTGCCTAAGCAGCGAGAATCACGCGGCGAAGGAACAACGGACCGCCATGAGCTGCAGACAGATCGGAAGAGGACAATCTCGAAAGATGTCTGAAAACAACTAGCGATTAGTACTAGTAAATCTGTGGGAAGGAGCGACCAGTCTGCCATGGTTAGAGATTGATGGGAGAGAGCAATACTTAAAGAGGTAAGGATAATTGAAAATGAAGACATATGAAATATATAGTCAAAAAATTCACATTTATTGTAGATTAAAACTAGAGTAGACTTTTTTATGCAATAAAGAAGGATTTCTTACTATATAAAGTTAAGGAAAGTGAAGAAAGTCAAAGAAACATATCTATAATGAATATTTTTTTATTAATTACCCTATTAAAAAATATCAAAATATATATAAAAATCTAAACTATAGTTGAATAGTAGAATCTAATGAAAATTTTAAGATAATATTTAATTATGTAATAGGGAGGATATTTTTTAAGAAAATAAAGTTATGTTTGTAACTAAATATAAATTTCTATGTTGTGCTTCTCTCACAACTTATTTTGACGGAAATGTTTTTGGGAAAAATATTACTTTTTTCATCACGGATTCCAATGAATGAGAATAATTTAGTCATTTTGTAAATAAATAAGATATTTTTAAAAATAGACAATATGAAAGGATATTTTTGTAACAAGGTATGGAAAAAATGTTATTTTGCAAATGTTCCATAAAATTTAGAAAAAATCTCTTTCCACCGTAATGTATCAAATGACAATGCATATAAGAAAATGAAAACAAAGTAAATTTTAGATCTTGAATTTTTATATTTATATGGGGATGAAGGATGAGAGAATGATTATGTGTAAAATAAATGGAGAGTTACATTCTAAAAATAAATGTTAGAAACATGTAACAGAAATTACAATTGTGTTTATAATATGCTTTTAAGTTTGAACAAGGGTAAATTAAATTTTGGTACTCAAATAATTGAAAAACAAAAAGAAAGAACATGATAAAACAAAAATTAGTTCTCTCTCCAAAAGAGAGTGTAAGTTACTTGTTTATCCCTAATACAGTTATAACAAAAAAAACATTAATATAGGTGTTGCTACTTAGGGTAGGCTATAGGAATTAGGGAGCTATAGACGAGTCTTTTTTATTGTCGGAACTTACAACTCCACTAAATGAGAAATGTCAATTAGTTGACAAATTTATATTATATTTTATTACTTAATAACACATTAGTTATCGGATAAATAAGCACCACCAAAAAAAACATTGTAAAACGATTTAGATTATCCGCTAACAACTATATTTTGGATTTCAACTAATTTTACTACATGTCTTAGATACTGTTCATCATCTCGATAACACTGTTCATATGTGATTGATAGCATTCAATATAGTATTTGTAATGAGTTAAATAGTTTGTTATCGCGATAATTTATATATTATATTTTAAATTACTTGTTATTGCTGTATAAATGAAAATAAATATTTTCCTATACCAAAAAAGTTGTTTATTTTGGCTTCGAATACATTGTTTGGAAACACAATTTATCACTAAAGGCAATAAAAAGTAATGATATGTGTGAAATATTTACTTGATTAACAATATAAAGCATATTATATCGCGATAGGTTATAAGTTATGCGATAACCATATATTTATTTTGTTAAATCATGTAATATACATATTATATAAAACACATAATATGTAAACTATCGAGATAACAAATTCTTTAACATAGTACTAAAACAACCAGCAATTAGTACTAGTAAATCTGTGGGAAGGAGCGACCAATCTGCCATGGTTAGAGATTGATGGGAGAGAGCAATACTTAAAGAGGTAAGGATAATTGAAAATGAAGACATATGAAATATATAGTTAAAAAATTGGGGGAATTTTAAAAATACCCTTTTTCATATATCTCTTTTTAAAAATAGCCCATTTTCAAACTTTATCAAAAAACCCACTAAAATGTTGAAATTTATCCAAATATGGGTGTAAGCTTATAAATATATACACAAATTACCTTTATATGTGTATAAAACTTTATATACCTTTCATAAATAGCGTAAAAATAAATTATGAAAACCTTATAAAAACCTTATAAAAACCTTATAAAAACCGTATAAACCCTTTTAAAAACCTTATAAAACTTATAAAAACGATTTAAACTATTTAAAACATTTTAAAACATTTGTATCGAATCTCCCAGTAGTAGTTCTTATATAGAAGTACCTTATAAACTATATAAAACTTTATAATTTTTTATATTTAAAAAGGGGTATTTTTGAAAATGGATAGATAAAGGGGGTATTTTTAAAAAGGGGTACACCAAAAGGGGTATTTCTCAAAAATTCTCCAAAAAAATCATATTTATTGTAGATTAAAACTAGAGTAGACTTTTTTATGCAATAAAGAAGGATATCTTACTATATAAAGTTAAGGAAAGTGAAGAAAGTCAAAGAAACATATCTATAATGAATATTTGTTGATTAATTACCCTATTAAAAAATAGCAAAATATACATATAAATCTAAACTATAATAGTATATAATGAAAATTATAAAATAATATTTAATTATGTAATCTGCAGGAAACTTTTTAAGAATAATATTTAATTATGTAATATGGAGGAAACTTTTTAAGAAAATGTCAAGGTAAAGTTATGTTTGTAACTAAATAAATATAATTTTTAATGTTTGTAACTAAATAAATATAAATAACTCTCACAAAATGTTATTTTGACGAAAATTATTTTGGAAAAAAAATTCCTTTCTTTATCATTGAATGAAAGTATTTTAGTCATTTTATAAATAAATAAGATATTTTTAAAAAATGGACAATATGGAAGAGTATTTTTGTAAAAGAGTACGGAAAATGTTATTTTTGCAAATGTTCCATAAAATTTAGAAAAAAAACTCTTTCCACCATAATGTTTCAAATTGACAATACATATAAGAAAATGAAAACAAAGTAAATTTTAAAACTTGAATTTTTTCTTATATATGGGGATGAAGGATAAGAGAATGATTATGTATCCAATGAATGCGGGGTTACATTCTCAAAATAAATGTTAGAAATATGTAAGTGAAACTGCAATTGTGTTTATAATATGCTTTTAAGTAGTTTGAACAATTGTGGAGGTTTAGTGGACAAAGGAAGAAGACAAAGTTTTTAACAGACGGATCGGGTCAAAGTCAAAAGACTTGTGCAACCAATGTCGTGTAGGATCTGAAACACAAGCAGATGAATATTCTCAAAAACTTTACTTCCAAAAGATCAAAACTTTGCACAGTCGGAAAAATACCCGACTGCTCAAATTACAAAAACTCTTGTGCTGAAAACAATATACCAAAAAGAATGCACAATGGTAAAACACACTCAAAGAAGATAAGTAAAAAAAAGATATTAGCAGGCACAGTGGTGAATGATCATCATTCCTCACGCCAAGTGAACTCGCACTTCAAGCATCTATAAAATCTTGATTCTGGCTCATCGGCTGAACGAATCTGCATTGATTTGAAGTATGCCTTGTCGTGGCCGCATCTTGGGCATGGAGCTGACCAATAAAGAATCCGCAATGAGAAAAGATAAGAAAACGAAGATGCTCTAGAGAGCAATAGGAGGTGTGCAGAAGAAGTCAAGTTCCATGTTCTAACTAACTTGTGTAGCAGAGCATGGACTAACTAATCCCAATTCTAAAATTAGAATAAGGAGACAAGAGACTCGTAATACCTTCAGTTTCAGCGGCTGTCGGTATATCTGCTTTAGTAACAACAGGTTCAATAGATTTCTTAACCAGAAGTTGCTTCTTCTTTATCTCCACCTATCAACATTCCAAAGCAAGAACAGAGATATAAAGGATTGATCAAATATTTTGTTGGGAAAAGGCACAAAAAAAGACCTGTCTTTCGATGTAGGCGACGTAAGGACATGTGGAACAGAAGAATCTGGAATTGCCACCACCCTCGTAACGCAGCAAGTTCCCACATGTAGGGCAAAACTCCATCTTCCACACCGATCAAATCCCGCCGTCACCGAGTCACTGCTTTTGGTCGCTCGTCTGTCGCTGTATTACATAAAAAGAAAGAGACGAAAGATTCACTTATTTCGATTATAACTCCCAATCTTGATTCTTTTACTACATATATATCATGATTTAAAGAGTTTGACAGATGATGCAAAATTAACCTAGACGTTCTGCTTATAACAAGGCTTACCAGTTCATTAGTAATCTAAGCTAAGATTCAAAAGCCAGGCAACACAAACCAGAGAAGAAAAGGGTTTTAAAGAACTAACCAGAGGAGAAAAGGTTGTCTCAGATCTCTTTGGTTGCTTTATAACAATCGCTGCACTTTCCTGTTACAAACAAAAACATCAAAGCAAGAGTATAAAAAGACCAGCTACTCCTAAAGAGTTACAATAACCAAAAGATTTGTATCAGCTTTCACAATTATAACAACAACGACAAACTTGAATCCAAACTCTTCTCCAATCCCAAAGAAGAACACAATTTACTTGTCCTAAACCAATTCAAGAAGCCCCTTATTAATAAAAATCCAATCTTTCGTGTAACCCTGATCGAATTCGTAGGAAACTAGAGATTGGGAACAGAGAAGAGACTGAAACAACGATCGAGAACAAGACTGACGCAAGTCAGAAGATTTCTTCATTCATACAAGGGAAAAGGTGGTACCTTTGAATGCGAAGATAATCTAACTCGGCTACCAGCGAACCCGAATCCGGAGTCAGATGAGTCAAAAATTTGACGACTCTGAAACTGAATCCGTAAAATTCACTTCGAGATAGACAATATATAAAAGCTTAATCCAGACTGAAATTGGCAGACAAACAACTGAAATTGATGAATTTATGGCAGACGAAACAACAATGGCGGAGGAACCAGCAATGGGTTTCAACAGCGGACGAAAAACTCAGTGGAATCGATGTCGGAGTCGAATGACAGAAGAAAGATAGATTAGGTTTGGTTTAGGTTAGTTTTTGATAGAACGCCGTCGTTTCTATTGTTAAGTGTTGACGAAAAAAACCGACGGGTACCCACAAGTACGCTGTCATTGGTCCGTCCACCGTCCATTGAATGTGTCCATTTGAACAATTTTATTTATGCGCTATATTTGGACGGTCCATAATTAACATAGGTTTAGAATATGTCCATATCCAATAAAAATTATGTCTATTTCGATATACCATAGATATCATATTTTTACTTTTGTTATTTTTTTCATAAAATTTAAATTAGTAAGTAAATATTTTCGATAAAAGCACAAAATTACGTTTTGTGCAAAAAATGTAGAATCACATTTTCTCTCAAAAAACGCAAAATTACGTTTTCCCCCTAAAATCGCAAAATCACGTTTTTCCACCAAAAACAAAAAAAAAAAATAAGTTTTTCCGCCGAAAACAGCAAAATCACGTTTTCCGCCAAAAACGCAGAATCACGTTCCGCCAAAACCAAAAAAATCATGTTTTCCCACCAAAAGCAAAAAAACTAAGTTTTCCCGCCAAAAACAAAAAAAAATACGTTTTTCCGCCAAAAACGCAAAATCACATTATCCGCCAAAAACGAAAAAATCAAGTTTTTCCGCCAAAAAACGCAAAAATTATGTTTTCATAAACATAAAAAAATTTAAGTTTTAATTTTTCTTAAAATTAAAACCCTAGGATTTTTGAAGATTGGGCTGTCCATATAGTTTTGTCCATCATGTCCATGGACAAATGAGCTTTTTGACCAGTTGGACAATTTTTTGTTTGGGCGTGTCCATTGTCCGTCCATAATAGTTTGGACCGGACAAACCCATGAATGGACAAGGTAATTACTAGGGCTCAACCCGTTTAACACTCTAATATTTCTGGTACTCGATAGGCTTTAACCCATTCTTATTCCTAAACACAATGTAATTCTCCTTTACATCTGGAAGCCTTTATTCGAAGCAACAACTTAGAACAAATTTACCCTACACCAAACAAGTATTGACCAGTTCACAAGTTATGTACAACAAACTCAATTTCTTAAAACATTTTTCTTTCTCTCCACTTAGAAAATTATTTTCAATTTTTCAATTGTTTGCCTTCTCTTTTTCATTTAGTAATTTTTATTTACGTGTGTATCTAAATATTAATTCATTTTTCCTTTTAGATAGACCATATATAAATCTATATTTTAAAAGTACTAAATTAATTAAACGATCAAATTTTAAGTGGCCAATAAAATACTAAACTTGAGTTTAATTTTGTTCAACTGATTCCGAACCAAATTATTTGAACGGAACCTTAATCTGATATTCAACGATGTTAAAAAGATAATAATTTTTTACATCTTTTTCTTGAGCCAGTTGGAATCATTTAATATATCCTCTGTGTTTGTTGCTGGGTTTGGTATAGTCACAAGTCCACAAGATACCAGAGATTGAAGATTTGCTCCAAATGCGCCCATGTAGCCTTTGCATTCACTAAAGGCAGTACTAGTCCTTTTTGTTCTTAAGTCAAACACGAGGATTGAGTCATTATAACGGATGCAACCATTTCTCAAATCAATGAACACAATGCAGTTCTCCTCCACACCTGGAAGGTTTTGTACCGAGTAGCAGAGACTCGTCCGAGCTCCAAGAAATATCACTCGGTCGTTCAAGTCATCAACTTGAACCCACTTCCTACTCCCAAATTCTTCATCCAGCCTAAAGACTCTAAACCATGTATACATATGTTCAGGATGAGACTCTCCTTTTGGGAAATATGCATACATATCTTCTTCATGAGACTGACCTGGTGTGAACCGTTGCACTAGCAACAATTCTTCTCCCGACTTCACTAGAGCCTCTTTCGTAGACTTGTGTGTCGACCGTAAGACCGATGGGATCTCGGAAACTTCCAAAGAGGGTTCGATTACAAATACATGTCCCCATCCACTTGTATCAACCACATAAAACTTTCCTTTGAATGAAACCATATCTCGACATTTCTCAGGAGAGACCGAAATATCTGTCCATCTCATCTCAAGGCTGCTAAATATCATCATATGGCCTTCTATATTAGCTAGCAATCTGAAATATTTACAATCATTAGTATTCAGTTCAAGATATTCAACTGTTTTAAAATAACTTTTCCATTCAATTCCGAAACGCACACCAAGCCAGAACCCCAACTCCAAGTTTATCTGCATCATCGATGGTTACATAAGCTTAATCGAAGGAAAACTTAAAATACAAGCTTGCGCATTTATTGATGGGTAATATATCAAGGCAATATCTGGTGTGACATGTATTTATATTCATTTACTGAATGTGACTAATACAACATTGAATTCCAAACATGTACTTTAGCAAGATTATCACAAAAACAGTTAAACAATAACATCATAAAATCAAACTCAAGCGTTACCTAATTAAATTAAAGAGTAGTATAGTCAAATGTGACTTTAGAGAAATCAAATCTCACCAAATTTGAGCTCTGCCAGCTCTTAATAAGGACATTCTATAAGTTTTAAATTTTTTATTGGGTATAGTATTAGAGACCAAAACTAACCTGGTAGTGATAACACAAAGGGACAATTCGACTGGTAAGAGAGTTGAACGACAATACTTGAGTTTCTTTGGGTTTGAAACCATCATAGCTTACTAATGGCGACGACAAGGACATTGGTTTCCCAATTTTTCTTTCATGTATCTTTGCCAATAGATAATCATCACCAAAGGGAGTCTTGAATATCACAAGATATATTGGGATTTTTTTAAGTTTACAATACTCATCATTGCTACCAAACCGAAGTTTTCCCCTGTAGAAGTTGTGAGTTTTGACAAACATGGGGACATGAGTTTCGACGCTTAAAGAACGAGAATCACGCGGCGAACGAACAACGGACCGCCATGAGCTGCAGACAGATCGGAAGAGGACAATCTCGAAAGATGTCTGAAAACAACCAACAATTAGTACTAGTAAGTCTGTGGGAAGAAGGGACCAATCTGCCATGGTTAGAGATTGATGGGAGAGAGCAATCCTTAGAGGTAAAGGATAGTTAAAAAACTAAAACTAGAGCAGATTTTTGTATACTATATAAAGTTAAAGAAAATGAAGAAACATATCTACTATAATGAATATTTGGATATTCACATTTATTAACCTAATCTTGAAAATATAGCAAAAATTTATCTCCTACTTATTATTAATTTGGAAGTACACTTATAGAATAAAAGGTAAATAATTACATTAGAATGCCATTACATATATAGGTTTTAAAGAAAAAATTAATAATATTCACTATAGATAAAAATGTTAAATACTAATTTATATAATTTAATTAAATTATCAAAACGAAAATATGTAATAACTTTCTAAAAACATTAACCAATCAAAATGAATATATAAGATTTGATATCTACTTTAACCAATCAAAATGAGTATATAAGATTATTGATAAAATTGTTCAAAAAAAATAATTATTGATAAAAATATTAAAAATAATAATACTTTTCGTTGTTATATCTTTATTTTTTGAGAATTTTTGAGAAATACCCCTTTTGGTGTATTCCTTTTTAAAAATACCCCCTTTATCTATCCATTTTCAAAAATACCCCTTTTTAAATATAAAAATTATAAAGTTTTATATAGTTTATAAGGTACTTCTATATAATAACTACTTCTGGGAGATTCGATACAAATATTTTAAAATGTTTTAAATAGTTTTAAATCGTTTTTATAAGTTTTATAAGGTTTTTAAAAGGTTTTTACAAGGGTTTATACGGTTTTTATAAGGTTCTTATAAGGTTTTTATAATTTATTTTTACGCTATTTATGAAAAGTATATAAATTTTTATACACATATAAAGGTAATCTGTATATATTTATAAGCTTACACACATATTTGGATAAATTTCAACATTTTTAGTGGGTTTTTTGATAAAGTTTGAAAAAGGAGTATTTTTAAAAAGAGGCATATGAAAAGGGGTATTTTTGAAATTCCCCCTTAATTTTTTTTTATCTATAACTAAATATTATATATATATAATATTTATTTTAATGTTAAATATAAGGGTCTGAAAAATAGTATTTAATTTACAACTATAAAATATAACAAAACTTTATTTTAAAATATAAAATTCTTATGATCTAGTATGTATATCAAAACTCTAGTAGAAGTAGAATATAATGCAAACTTATTTTTTTTTCTCTTTTTAACATCTATTCAGATTGGCATATTTATTTATTTATTTTTGGTAAATAGAATGGCATGTTTATAACCTATTTAGAAATGTGATATAAAAAAAAAACATATCAGAAAAAAAGAAAAAAAATCGTTATAGCTTAGTACATTAGTCACACTTGGTTTGAGGTTTGATTCCTTGAGATTGCAATTTCTTAGGAAAATCGGCCATTTCATACCTTACCTATAGTACTATGTTCAATTCATACGGAGTAATGATGCAAAGTTTATTCAAGATTCAAAAATCATGTTGGTAAAGTCGTTTTTAATGGTCTTGTGTGTTGCGGAAAGAGCATGTTCATCAGTCGAAATGTTGTACATGAATAATCGTCTGTTGTGTATAGAATGTTACGGCAAGAGATGTAAAATCATTATAATTTATTTGAGTTATTCATACTCAAAATATACTGCATGTAGACTTCATCGTGATATATAGTAGATTAGCTCAAATATCTCTAGTGATGTTGATGTAATAGACGTATAAAGAAAACTAGTTCTAGTTAGTCTTTGAGAAGCAACAACTAATGTGATGACTTAGGGAACCAAGTAGTGTTTCTTGGTAATGACTGGGATCATTGTTGTTTCGGCGAATGAGCTTCCGGGTATGAAAATGAACAGCATTGTAGTGTTCACTGAACCTAATATCATCTCTGAGCTAATCCTTATGTTTGACTTAGGAAAAAAAAAGGACCAGTAAGACGGTTTTGGTATGCCAAGCCTATATGATCGCGTTCGGCGAAATGAAGAATCCTTGGCGTACTATGGAATTGTGACTATGCCACATCTATGATGCATCGATCAAGTGAACTTGAATGAGTTTGTTAAACTTGTCTTCAACTGTATTACTAACTGGTTGTTGATTGCTTTGTATAAGTTCCATGAAAATTTTATTTGGAAAGTCTCAACTCATTTCACTACCCATTCATAGCATTCTTGACTATCAAGAAGAATCACATATCATTTCGCCAAACCCGGCTCATTCAACGACAATAGTCACAATTCACGTTTCGGGACTATAATATTTTATAAGTCCATGGAACAAACTCTATATTCGTAGACTACAAGACCTCTGGCCTCTTGCGAGCCACACAACCTTAAATGGGTCTTCTCTAAACATATCTCCCTTTTTTTCTGGCAGTTTCTTAGATTTTTTGTTCGAGAAAATTCCTTAAAAATTCTCCATCTAATTTTAATTTGGAAGTTTAATACCCAATGTTATTTCATTGGAAATAAAATGCATGGTTTATTAAATTTTGGTCTATTAATACATTAAGTATATATAAAAATTGTCGAATCGAATAAACCGCTTAATCGGATTGACGGAATCACTAAACCGAAGTTGACGAAATCAATAATCCCTAAACATTGGGGTTATCCAAAGATTGCATTGTCCTTTGCTATTATCCCAAATCGAATTGGGATCGATAAACCCTAATTTTAGTGTAATTCCATTAACCCCGGTTTAGTGATTCCGTCAATCCAACTATCGTTTGTTAAGCAGTTTTTTCGATTCGATAATTTTTATATACTTGATGTATTAATAGGCAACAAATTAATAAACCATGCATTTTATTTTCAATCAAATAACATTGGGTATTAAATTTCCAAATTAAAATTAGATGGGAAATTTTTAAGGAATTTTTCCTTTTTTATTCTAAACTTAACTATTTTCTAATTAAAATAAAAATATTTGTTGGCATTGCTTTTTACAAAAGTGGCTTTTTCTTCGAAAGATTTTTTGGAGCCACAAGTTTGTGTTTGTGCTGGTTATGCTTTTTATACAAAAGACCCGGCACTGATATGTTACTTTTTTATATTGCCATGCCACAACAAATCTTTTTCACATTATATATATATATATATATATATATATTTGTTTATGATAATATCTATAGAGATTTCAATGACTCTTTAAATAACCATGATTATGTTTAGCAATTCTCATACTAATTGTGTTATTAGTAGTAATGATGATAACGACCCACGAGAATTTTATGTTTGGATCGTCATGACGATCGCCAACGAGGAGATAGTGACACTCAAAACACATTTGGATCTCGATATTGCCAGCAAAGAATCGACTGTCCATTTCTTGGAAATGTCGGCTTACTATTGTAAAGATTCCTTTTGCTTGGATACAATTACAAATCAAATCCTAATAATGTATTTGAGATCAATCTAGGATCCTAGATTTGTATGATCCTCATAAAGAATCAATCTTTTTTTATATATAGATTAAGTTCAACGCAACTGTATCGTTTCGAGATGCCGTTGAACAAAAGGTGATTCTAATAATCAAGAAGCATCATATTTAACGAGTACAAGAACTGAAAGGGAACAAAGAACAATAGACAAAGGTAGTGTCTAGTAAAACTAGAACTAACCATGTTTATGACAAACTAATGGTTTAATAATTGAATCAGTAGTCGAGCTTAACTGGGTATCGGTCGATGCAGTGTTCCCACGGACTACTAACCGAAGGCTTGACATTGTGTAGAGCGACCCAAACCGCGCTGTTACACTTAAACCCACTTCCGAAAGCAATCTGCCAAACTCTGTTTCCTTTCTTCATCCTTCCTTTAGCTTCTATGTAAGCCAGTTCATACCAAATGGAGCTCGAAGAAGTGTTTCCGAACCTGTGCAGTGTCATTCTCGATGCTTCGACATGTGTCTGCGAAAGCTGCAGATTCTTCTCAAGCTCATCAATCACAGCTCTACCACCAGCATGGATACAGAAATGATCAAACGCAAGTTTGAAATCCGGGATGTAAGGCTTCAGCTTAGCATTAAACAATTTCTTGGTAACCAAAGTCATGAAAAACAGAATCTGCTCGCTTATAGGAAGAACCAAAGGACCCAAAGTAGTGATATTCGCCTTAAGCGCTTCCCCAGCTATAGCCATAAGATCTTTCGACAAAGAAACCCCGGTCTTCCCATTATCGTCTTGTTCTTGGTAAACACAATTGAAAGCCTTCTCAACAGCTCCTTTATGAGTCCTAACCGTATGAACCAGCTTATACTTAGACCGTCTACGATCCTTACCCTTATTCGACAACAAAATCGCCGAACCACCAACCCGAAACAAACAATTCGGGATCAACATCGCCTTCTTATTCCCAAAATACCAATTCTGAGTAATATTCTCAGTACTAATCACAACAGCATAAGTATTCCTATGAACTTGCAACATATCTTTCGCCAAATCGATAGCGATAACACCCGCACTACACCCCATTCCACCAAGATTGAAACTTTTAACATTCCCCCTAAGCTTATACTTGTTAACAATCATAGCAGACAAGGAAGGCGTAGGATTAAACAAACTACAATTCACCACCAACACACCAATATCCCTAGGGTTAATCTTGGTATTCTCGAAAAGCTTATCAAGTGCACCAAACATTACCTGCTCAGCTTCCTCACGCGCCGCCATCATCGTTGGCCGTGGAGGGATACAATGTAAAGCTTCAGGGAGATAAGTCTCTTCCCCTAAACCAGAACGTTCAAGAATCTTCCTCTGAAACTCTAAAGACGACTCATTGAAATCTTCAATCAGCTTAGAATGATCCATAAACTTCTGATAATTAACCTGAAGACTCTCAGGAGGAAGGTAACAAGAGTAATCAACGAGATAAACGGATCTGGGACGGCTCATGATGTAAACGGTGGAGCCAAAAACAGCTAAAGCAGAGAGGAAGATGAAAGCTACGAGATTGTATTGGAGATGAAGCCAAATCTGGTAAAGATCATCTGTTGTCAATCGAGAGATCT